TTTTTTTATTCGTTTTCCGAGAAAGAGGAAGCAGGCGGACGAGCAAAGTCGAAAGAAAAGTGAAATTCCTACTAGGACTTTGGTCCCAATGTTCAAGCAAGCTAGGACATGTTCTCAGTTTTTTGACATGACGATGCGTCATACTCCCGGGCATTTGTTGGTTTATGCTTCCGGGGTTCGGAAATGTGTTGTGCAATCAATTTTAGCCGGTTATTCACCAAACAGTATTTTGGTATAAAACCAAAAATATAAATTCTAAAAATGAAAAATGAAAGACTATAGCTTAATTAAAAGCATATTTTAGTGAGACGATCGATCTTAACAAAACATCATCAATTTCCCGCAAATTAGTTGATCGATATCCCATATTGCTAAAAACCTTCTCACGTGGCATGGTTTATGGTTTATATGGTCTGACGTTTTATTGTGTGTTTTATATCTGAAGGGGGCTTATTCAATCGTTCTAAAGAAATTAAAAGAACAAAGGGTGATGAGAGATCTTTTTAACTCAACATAGAGGGAGCGGAAAAGTCGAGAAAGGGATAAGTTAGTTTTCAGTCAATCAGCATGCTGTTTTAAAAGTACGTATGTTTTGCACCGCCAGTAAAGGCTTTCTTAAAATGTGACATGATCATCCTGGTCGAACTGTTTCCTTACGAAATTTGAGGACAGCTTCTTGCACGCGTATCTGTCTAAGACAAACTGTCACAAAACAATTCATTCTGTTCTAAGTAATAACCACTTTAAAAGCATATTTATACCCAAGATAGAATTACAACAACTTAGGGACAGTTGTGACACTCTCTAGCACAACACTCAGCAAAATGCGGCTTGATACGTTCTTTGTATTAGTTCTTTTTGCAAGTTTTTTTCTTTGCTCTGTCGATTCGTGGCGCCGTAGACGCCGTAGGCGCTGTTATCGTAATTGTACGCCGGGAGATTGGAGTTCATGGACCACCTGCACAAGAGGTTGTGGCACAGGTACACAATATCGCACGAGAGGCATCGCTGTACCCGCTCTTTGCGGAGGTACCTGCAACGTTGCTTTGAAAGAAACAAGGTACTGCAACACACACTGTTGCCGCGTTAATTGTGCGTGGAACTGGAATGCTTGGAGCCCGTGCACGGGATGTGGAATGTCCCAACAAACGCGCACAATGCGTATCACTCGGTATCCAAGTTGTGGAGGAACAGCATGTCCGAGCCAACGAAGTCAGACGCGAAGTTGTAATACAGGGGTGTAAGTGAAAAAAGAAAGCGTTAAAGTAGTTGGTTTTTAAATGGAGATATTCTTCGTTAGTAAATTTGAGTGCTTATTCATCTACTTCTTTTGTGCTTTGAACTGTATGTCTGAAGATCTTGAGTACATCAATAGTAAGTGTTACGTCAGCTATTTACATAAATGTACAAAGTACAGGCTTTGTGGCTACCCAAACAATGTTTATTTATTTATTTTTTTTCGCTTTTTCTTTTTTTGGCAAAATGTTTCCATCTTTTAACTCCACTTCAATCTCCAGTGTCTGATCCTCTTCAAGGATTTCTGTTGCTCTACATGTTGTCCACCTCTCCACCTTTCATGGATGGAGTCGGGGGATAAAGCGAGGGCAGCCTTGGTAAGCTATGATTTACATATTTCCCAAGCTGTGCTCGCGTAGAAAGGACCTTGATCTCAGTGGTTTCTCTCTTTAGCTTTAAACTAACTGGAGGCCCGCAGAGACCACAAAGTCGACACCTTGTCCAATATTACTGTCTTTTACGAACAGAGAAGAAAACCTTTCGGGCGTTAGTGGTACAGAACTTGACCTTTTGGCAAAACGGGTATTTTGTGCCCTCCTGGTGAGAATAGATTATTCTTTACCACTGGGGTTTAAAATAAGAAATGGACAATTGCTTAGTTGTAATTTCTAGAAATTGGACAAGGAAAATGAAACTCAAGCTTTCCAAATCAGATCATAAGATGTCACTAAAGAAACAAAAGCTATGAGGCCTCAATCCCCTGCGGACTAACGCCTCCATTACAGTAGCTCTTGGTCTGCTATATACTTATAATCACTTATGTTTATTCACTTAAGTGGAAAACGTTTAGTAATTTGTTTAGAACACCGCATTGTTGCGAAACAGGAATATTTTCACGTACCTCATTGCTATTCGGCGTATTCAGTCACGTTTGCTTACTCATAGCCTTGCGAAACTGGGTATTTTTTTTTAATGCGACGAGTGTAACAACAACGGCAGTAGTATTGTTAATAATAATAATAATAATAATAATAATAATAATAATGATAATAATAATAGTAATAAAAATGATAATAGAAATAGTGATGATGATAACGATACCAAATAATGGCAATGATAAGAAAAATCATGATGATACTCCGCAAAGAAAGAGAAAAACGGGGGAAAAAATACCAGGATTTTGCAAAGAAATACACAATGTATTATTTAGGCTTTGAGGTGCAAGGGCAAAATTGCTGAGGTACCATGCCAAACGGCGTGAAAGCTCTACGTAGTTTTTTAATGGTAACTTGAAGAAAATAAGAATTCGAAATATTTCAGAGCTTCTTGGAACCTCCATTTTGAGAAAGGTGCTTGAGGTCCAAGGTCTCGGCAGAGTTAGACTGAATCCTTTGCAGAATGCCCGGTTGAGTAGATGGAGATGATAATAATGGTAACAATACTGGGTAGGGCGCAAATTTCGATGGAGCTAGTCGGGTCCGCGAAATTTAGAAAGCACGAACACGAAAATAAAACGGGAGGAACTGACTTCACGTGCCTTACACTTGCGCTTCATCCCTACTATCTGAGAGCCTGGAACAGGCTAAACTCGAAGAAACCGCTCATTCTAATCCGGCGCTTGTGCCGATACTAAGGATGTGAAGTGTCGATTTTATTTATAATAGAAACTAGTTACAAGTCAATATTCCAACTTCCAGCTTCTCCCCCATTTGTTGGTGATCAGTGCGCCACGCGCCTTCTATGTGGCCACAACAACACGTGATCAATTTTATCACGAAAGTTTATATCTTTGAAAAAATAATGAACATTTAAGAGAATGAAATTGGTTTCTTGGCTTATATTATCCAGCGGAAATCAATGTAAATGCGTTGACTGTGACCCCGTTGCGTTATGCGCTAGTTTTGCGTCTGAAAAAAAGAGTTTTCTCGTGCGTGTATGCGATGTCGTAATACCGTTGCGTTCATTGTGAACAAGAAGACATGGGTCATAAAGGTCATCCTACGGGAGGGGGGTTTGTTTTGAAATTTAATATGTGACACTAAATTCCTACTATTTTACACGTACTGTACAAATACCGCGATCTCTGAAGAACGATACCAAATTGTAGGGGTTTTATAAGTTGATGATAAGTCTGTCTCTACTGGAACTAAAAAATTACACCGCGCTCTAACTAAGACGCAAGCTGAACGTTTCGTAAATTACTATTGAAGTACTACTAAAGCTGAATTATTGCAAGTAAATGGTGCTGGCTTTATTTCTACCTATTTATAGTCTCTGTCACGCAAAAAGCTAATAAAACCGTTTCACAATTTTTTTTAAAATTACAATCAAGTCTGATTAAGAGAAGGGAATTTGCTTGAATTACATTCTACATCAATGGATTTGGCTCCACCAGTAAAACCTCACTTATCTCTTTAATGCTATCAACCATCAAATATAGCCCAAAGTTTTTGAAGAAGAATACGAGATATTCTTTGTGAATCCTGATATAACTTCTTTTTAAAGAGGAGCATATTTACCTCACCGCGTCGAATGAACCACGCCTATGGCGTACATCATTTGGACCCCACAGACAAATACAGTACAGGTATCAGAAAGACAAACAAAGACACAATTAAGTTTTTCGGCTCTGCTATATGTTAGTTTATTTTTTTTCAGTAGAGTACCTGCTTAGTGGCTTAACCGCTTTACATCGAGGCTCGAGTGATTTGGAAGGTAAAAGACAGGTTCAAACTCAAAGAAGGAGACTGATTTCCATCGACGACTGATTTCACACGAAAATTAGCCGAAAACCCTTATCGGATTACCGAGGCTTATCTATTAATTTTTTTTACTATTTTCAGCACTTTTTCCTAGCTTTTTGTTTCTAATTTTGTTGCTTTTCTTTTCTGTAAATTTTCAGATGCTGCCCGGTGAATTGTGTTGTCAGTTCGTGGTCTAGTTGGGGATCTTGCAACGCGCGTTGCGAAAGTAATGGTCAACAAACACGCAGCCGCAGGGTAACAACTGCGGCTTCTTGCAGAGGTACTCCCTGTCCAACACTGATACAAACAAAGTCTTGCCGAGGGCCCTGTTGTCGAAGAGATTGTCAGGTACAGTTTAATATAGTTCGCAGGTGATAAATTAGTTCATTTAAGTTCATTCTAAGTCATCCAATGTTAAATATAAACTTGCGCTGAATTACCCCCAATTCAGCACAAAAACATCCACTGCCCAAAAACCTCGTCAAGGAAGTTGAACTCTGTAACGCACGTTACGGGACCCAGAAATAGTGTCTCCTTCCCTGAGAAGAGGTGTCCCAAAGGAGTGGTTCAACTGTATTGCTTTTATATATATATATCTTTTTCATTCAGGTTAGCAGTTGGTCATCTTGGGGGTCATGTTCTGCACCTCCAGGCAGATGCAGCACGAACAGTGGTACAAAAAAAAGAACAAGAAGGGTGACTTTATCTCCCAGCTGTGGAGGATCATCGTGCCCTACATTAACCGACACATCTCAATGTACACCTGTTCCCATCCCTTGCAAGGTTTTTCTTCTTATTTTTTTTCCTGTTTTTTCAAATTTGCTACTTGTTTGTCAAGTGTTTTTTATACATTTGTCGTTCTTTAAAATGGATTGCCATCTTCAAAATCATCACCAGGGAGCTTTAGCAACGACTACAGGTCATCAAAACCTTTTGAAATGAATTCGCGTTTTGACGGTAAACCAAAAAGTTTACTGCACGATTAAAATTGTTGTCGTGCTTTTTAAACTAGTTTCTTTTTTGGCGTTCTCTTTGTTGTCACCGCCGTCGTTGCTAAAGCGCCCTAATCAGTTGCCTAATGTCGACATCATAACGAGAACCTGCATATTGCCACTCTCATCATTAAACTCAACAGTATCAGTGGGAACATCAGCCTCAGCTCACAGTCACTATCACCGCCATCACCATCCTCATTATCATAAACAAAGAAACAAAAATAGTCTATAATCGTTAAGATCGCACAAAAAAATCAGTGCAACCAAGCACATTCAGATGTAATTCTGTCTCAGCGTTGGATTGCTATGAATTTTGCCAATTGTTTGGTTTCTTAATAAAATTTTCAAATTCGTAAATTCACATCGTCATCAACTTAAGAAAAATATTGCAAATGTAAACACCCATTTTCACTGGCTAAGTCAAAGCCTGCGTGAATTCCCTCTCACGGAAGTATCCGACCATATAGTCTTCATTACATGACGGGCTATGATTTATAATTTATTATTTAGATGAGTGCGTGGGGCTCGTGGAGTGCGTGTTCCCCAAACAATGGCAAATGCGGAGCTGGTACTCAGTATCAGACACGTACAGTAGCTACCCAGCCATATTGCAGTCCCGCGTGTCCTGCCACGCGACAGACACGCTCGTGCACGCACAGTTGCTGCCCGAGGGACTGCGCTGTGTCGTCTTGGGTTTCGTGGAGTGCGTGTTCTAACACATGTGGAATAGGTGGGTCATACGAGGGCCTTTTTTTGTACTGATATCTCTTGATGAAGACCTCTATTTAGATATTACCGTCGCCTGTGAATAGGCCTTTCCCTATGGGTTCAAGGGAGATCAAAGGGGCAGAAAGAAAACTGCTGAAAGGGAGCTCTTTCGCTATATCCCTTACTATTGAGTCTGTTAATTCACAGGCTAAAATTACAGCTACACCTGTATGAAGTGGTTTTGCTCGAGGATGGCCAACTGACAGCTTGATTCAGGCTTAATAGTGTCGATTTTATTTATAATAGAAACTAGTTACAAGTCAATATTCCAACTTCCAGCTTCTCCCCCATTTGTTGGTGATCAGTGCGCCACGCGCCTTCTATGTGGCCACAACAACACGTGATCAATTTTATGACGAAAGTTTATATCTTTGAAAAAATAATGAACATTTAAGAGAATGAAATTGGTTTCTTGGCTTATATTATCCAGCGGAAATCAATGTAAATGCGTTGACTGTGATCCCGTTGCGTTATGCGTTAGTTTTGCGTCTGAAAAAAAGAGTTTTCTCGTGCGTGTATGCGATGTCGTAATACCGTTGCGTTCATTGTGAACAAGAAGACATGGGTCATAAAGGTCATCCTACGGGAGGGGGGTTTGTTTTGAAATTTAATATGTGACACTAAATTCCTACTATTTTACACGTACTGTACAAATACCGCGATCTCTGAAGAACGATACCAAATTGTAGGGGTTTTATAAGTTGATGATAAGTCTGTCTCTACTGGAACTAAAAAATTACACCGCGCTCTAACTAAGACGCAAGCTGAACGTTTCGTAAATTACTATTGAAGTACTACTAAAGCTGAATTATTGCAAGTAAATGGTGCTGGCTTTATTTCTACCTATTTATAGTCTCTGTCACGCAAAAAGCTAATAAAACCGTTTCACAATTTTTTTTAAAATTACAATCAAGTCTGATTAAGAGAAGGGAATTTGCTTGAATTACATTCTACATCAATGGATTTGGCTCCACCAGTAAAACCTCACTTATCTCTTTAATGCTCTCAACCATCAAATATAGCCCAAAGTTTTTGAAGAAGAATACGAGATATTCTTTGTGAATCCTGATATAACTTCTTTTTAAAGAGGAGCATATTTACCTCACCGCGTCGAATGAACCACGCCTATGGCGTACATCATTTGGACCCCACAGACAAATACAGTACAGGTATCAGAAAGACAAACAAAGACACAATTAAGTTTTTCGGCTCTGCTATATGTTAGTTTATTTTTTTTCAGTAGAGTACCTGCTTAGTGGCTTAACCGCTTTACATCGAGGCTCGAGTGATTTGGAAGGTAAAAGACAGGTTCAAACTCAAAGAAGGAGACTGATTTCCGTCGACGACTGATTTCACACGAAAATTAGCCGAAAACCCTTATCGGATTACCGAGGCTTATCTATTAATTTTTTTTACTATTTTCAGCACTTTTTCCTAGCTTTTTGTTTCTAATTTTGTTGCTTTTCTTTTCTGTAAATTTTCAGATGCTGCCCGGTGAATTGTGTTGTCAGTTCGTGGTCTAGTTGGGGATCTTGCAACGCGCGTTGCGAAAGTAATGGTCAACAAACACGCAGCCGCAGGGTAACAACTGCGGCTTCTTGCAGAGGTACTCCCTGTCCAACACTGATACAAACAAAGTCTTGCCGAGGGCCCTGTTGTCGAAGAGATTGTCAGGTACAGTTTAATATAGTTCGCAGGTGATAAATTAGTTCATTTAAGTTCATTCTAAGTCATCCAATGTTAAATATAAACTTGCGCTGAATTACCCCCAATTCAGCACAAAAACATCCACTGCCCAAAAACCTCGTCAAGGAAGTTGAACTCTGTAACGCACGTTACGGGACCCAGAAATAGTGTCTCCTTCCCTGAGAAGAGGTGTCCCAAAGGAGTGGTTCAACTGTATTGCTTTTATATATATATATCTTTTTCATTCAGGTTAGCAGTTGGTCATCTTGGGGGTCATGTTCTGCACCTCCAGGCAGATGCAGCACGAACAGTGGTACAAAAAAAAGAACAAGAAGGGTGACTTTATCTCCCAGCTGTGGAGGATCATCGTGCCCTACATTAACCGACACATCTCAATGTACACCTGTTCCCATCCCTTGCAAGGTTTTTCTTCTTATTTTTTTTCCTGTTTTTTCAAATTTGCTACTTGTTTGTCAAGTGTTTTTTATACATTTGTCGTTCTTTAAAATGGATTGCCATCTTCAAAATCATCACCAGGGAGCTTTAGCAACGACTACAGGTCATCAAAACCTTTTGAAATGAATTCGCGTTTTGACGGTAAACCAAAAAGTTTACTGCACGATTAAAATTGTTGTCGTGCTTTTTAAACTAGTTTCTTTTTTGGCGTTCTCTTTGTTGTCACCGCCGTCGTTGCTAAAGCGCCCTAATCAGTTGCCTAATGTCGACATCATAACGAGAACCTGCATATTGCCACTCTCATCATTAAACTCAACAGTATCAGTGGGAACATCAGCCTCAGCTCACAGTCACTATCACCGCCATCACCATCCTCATTATCATAAACAAAGAAACAAAAATAGTCTATAATCGTTAAGATCGCACAAAAAAATCAGTGCAACCAAGCACATTCAGATGTAATTCTGTCTCAGCGTTGGACTGCTATGAATTTTGCCAATTGTTTGGTTTCTTAATAAAATTTTCAAATTCGTAAATTCACATCGTCATCAACTTAAGAAAAATATTGCAAATGTAAACACCCATTTTCACTGGCTAAGTCAAAGCCTGCGTGAATTCCCTCTCACGGAAGTATCCGACCATATAGTCTTCATTACATGACGGGCTATGATTTATAATTTATTATTTAGATGAGTGCGTGGGGCTCGTGGAGTGCGTGTTCCCCAAACAATGGCAAATGCGGAGCTGGTACTCAGTATCAGACACGTACAGTAGCTACCCAGCCATATTGCAGTCCCGCGTGTCCTGCCACGCGACAGACACGCTCGTGCACGCACAGTTGCTGCCCGAGGGACTGCGCTGTGTCGTCTTGGGTTTCGTGGAGTGCGTGTTCTAACACATGTGGAATAGGTGGGTCATACGAGGGCCTTTTTTTGTACTGATATCTCTTGATGAAGACCTCTATTTAGATATTACCGTCGCCTGTGAATAGGCCTTTCCCTATGGGTTCAAGGGAGATCAAAGGGGCAGAAAGAAAACTGCTGAAAGGGAGCTCTTTCGCTATATCCCTTACTATTGAGTCTGTTAATTCACAGGCTAAAATTACAGCTACACCTGTATGAAGTGGTTTTGCTCGAGGATGGCCAACTGACAGCTTGATTCAGGCTTAAACAACTAAACAGAAATCAAGAAAGGGAGATAGTGGCAAGGAGAAGTATCCGTAGAAAAAAAAAATATACTCCTAAGATTTTTCTATCTCTTGTTGTGGCAAAAAAAGACTAGATTTTCGAGCTTTAAAGGGTATCACACATAAATGTGTTTAGTGCGATGTTATTGTACCTCTTTGAAAAAGTAACCGTTGCAGGTGACGACAAGGACAAAAGCTTTCAATGCGGGGACTCTGGAAAATTTCTGGAAAAAAGTGTGAAGAGTTTGTTTGTCGAGAACCAATAAATGAGCCTTTGTTCATATTTTATTTTTATTTTTAATTTATTTTTAATTTGTATTTCAAAAAGTACATAAAGTAATTAAATAAAATAATAAGAAACCAAAAAAGGTAAATAAATGAATTAATGATAAATTTAAAAATTAAAAAATAATAAAAAACAACACACCAGGGGAAAAACAAAAACAATGGTGCAGTTAAGAATTGTAAGAAAACGTAGACAAAAATTTAACAATTAGTTCATGCGTCAGCGTGCGTATGTCGAGATATTGAGCACGCGGGAAGTTTGGAGAGCACGAAAGAGGCGTAAGAGTTGCACTCGGCTGCGCCTCGTGCAACTCTAGCCTCTTGAGTGCTCTCCAAACTTCCCAAGTGCTCAATATCTCGACATACGCACAGCTGCAGCATGAACTAATTGTTTTATAACATTATCA